TACATACACTATCAAGTAAACATTTCTTTTATTTTTCTTTTTATGAACAAAATATATTCTGATTTATAAAATAAATCTTCACTTTTCAGTGCTGACTTTGGACATTTCAAACGTTTGCTTCAAAATGAACTTTTAATAAATCCTAATAGAGTCTGTTTTAGAAAAGAGATCATATTAGTTTATTTGTATTTTTTATTTATTATTATCTTTTCCCTGGGATTCTAAGTCATCATCAATACAAACTGTTTCCGAGTCAGAAGAGCATGGTCACACCTAAACAGTCCCATTCTGATGCTGTCAGGACCAGGCAGGACTCCTAAAGTCAAACAATCATTTTAAAGTCCAGCCAGTTGTTTAACCTCAACCAAACAGCAGCTGAGAGCCAAACTAAACAGAAAACAAAAAACAGAGTGGTCACATGTGGGACCGAGGAGAGACTGGAACCACAGCCTCCAAAAATAAACTGAGCGATACGAAGACGTTTTCACTTTTTTATTGTGTTAAAAAACACAATAACCAGAGGAGAGCTGAATGACTGATTAAGAACTGATTTGTTAGAGGTAAAACAAGCAGAACAAAAGCTAAAATGAGCAAAACGGTAGCTGAAAGTTCAAGTTAATAAATCAGTCGCTAAAATCAAAGATTGGCAAAGCAGAAGCTAAAAGCTAAAATGAGCAGAGAAGTTGCTAACAGTTAAAACCACCAGAACCGTAGTTAAAGCTAAGATTAGCAGAACAGCGAAAACTAAAACCATCAAAGCAGCAGTGAAAGCTAAAATGAGCAGTACATTAGCTGAAAGCTGATATGATCAAACCAACAAAAGCTAAAAGCAGCAAAACATCAGCTAAAACTGTCATTAATTAAAAATATAAAAAGAGTAGCTAAAAGCTAAAACAGAAGCATGTGTGCTAAAGTTGATTTTTCAGAGCACAGTTTTAAACAAATCCAGAAGTTTTTACTGTAAATACTGTTAAATATTTCAAAAAGTATGAAAATGCACGAGTCACAGCTGCATCAAGCTGAATGCTTTGATGTACCGTATAAATGCTGACTCAGCATTTAATAACTGAGCTGTGTTTCTCTCTAATGTAGACTGAACCTCAATAATCTACTAAAGCTTCTGTTGTTATAATAATCTTCTCTTGTTCTGTTTAAGAGCCTTTAATACGAACGTCTTTAAACGTTTGAACGTTGGTTAACATGATGCAGAGGATGTCTGATGTTTTGATGAATCTGACCTCCAACCTCCTGATATTACTTAAAGGAAGTTCAACCTCTGACCTCCCAGAGGTGAGCTTYTTTGAGCAGCTTGCTTTCTTCTCTGCAGGCAATAAAAATCAAATATCTGTGTAAAGAAAATGGAAAAGACTTTAACTAGCATACAATAAAACAAGACCTTATAGGAAAAAAACTCTGTAAAAGATAAACATAGATTGTTTCTTCAACAGAAAACAGTGATTCTACTAATTCCTTTTTTTTTCAGGACTCAGATCAGAGACAAAGATCAGCTACTTACCCAATCAGGTAACGCGCTCCTTGAGGAAAATGACTTCCTCCCAACCATTGACACTCACCTGCAGTGACCCGGAGCAATCAGGGCTAAACGGGCTTCCTAATCATGAAAAACCTTGTAGGTCAGCAGACACACACCCCACCCGGGGGCCCACCCAGCCTCCTGCAACACCTCCTCCCCCTCGACTGTCCAGCTTTGAGTGCAAGTGTTTAAGCTGTCGCTTCAAATCAAATGAGCGTGGGGATTGCTTCTGCAGGATGCATCGTGTGTTTGGTTTGATGCCGACTGCAATATCCTGCCCGGCCTGCTGATCCACACGCTTCTGGGTGAGGGGCTGCAGCAGA